GAAGTTGGTCTCTTGACTACAGTGTGTAGCTTCATTTATTATAAGTAGTCCAAAGTTCTGAGCACTTAATCACAACTCTTGGAGTCTGAATGAGGAGGTAGGATTCCTGCAGTGCAACACGATCTTTTTTTGTGGCTCTTATTTTTTTAGATCCACATATTATCATTGATTCAAATGCCTTGAATTTTCCTTGTGATTTGTCTTAGGCATTATCTATCTTGCTTTATAAAGCTCCCAAGACCACTGGTGATTTGTCCTTTAGGGTAGGTCAGATCTTTGAGTCACAGTTGTATCCACCGGCCAGTTCCTTTAGGAAGCACCAACATGTGGTGAAGAAGCACCAATTTTTAAGTTAGTAACTGGAAATAACTAGAATGTAAACTTTGTTAAGTAACCGCTCTGAGTTTCTGTCATTTTATCTATGACTAGGAAGGAAAACATGTCTCTGAATTCTTTCTGTATCACCCATAGAGGGTCTATCTGACATTCTAGATTTGGAGCATCATGTAGTTGGTGAGATATCTTCTTAGTGGTGCTCTTAGTTAAGTGACTTTATTTTCTAGGAACCAGGATTTAAAAGGAAGAATACAATGGTCATTCCTATCTCTGCTGCATTGTAAGTTCATGTTGGATTCATCTTGAGTGTCTTTGAATTTCTTCTCTTTCAATGATTTGTTTTCCAAGGCAGACCAAACATGCAGCAGCTCTTCTGACTTAAAGGTAGGTGATCTGCTTAGAAGCAAAGCACAAAGTTTCTTAGCGCACACATGATGTTGGACATGGATTTTTCTCCTAGAGTCAGAGTTCATTTGTTAAATGAGATAGTCTCATATATGTAAAGTTTGGAGACAGTTGATTTTTAAATTAATAATTTTACACAGCACTGCAGAGTCTATACATATTTTTAAGTCCTTTGTAATTTTGGGATTCTTGTGAGGTACCATTTGGGTTTAAAGAAATTGGAGCCTGCAATAGGAACAGAAGTCCCATTGCTTTATGTAGTAATCAGGCATAACTGACACAGGAAGCTCTGCTCAGGCATGGCACCATTTATTGTAATGCAAGTCCCAAGAGATTATTATGTATGTATTCTAAATGCTCACCTACTGATCTGTGCCTCCATTCTTGATCACTTAGTCTTCTAGATTTCCAGGTGAGGCGCCATTGTGGGCTGAGAGAATGTATTCACTATCAGCTTTGGGAAGGAGTAAGGACAAAGAAGTGGGGATTAGAGAGAAGAAATACAGAAAAGGCTGATATGATAGGTAGAAATAAGAGTTATTTTTCAAAGGGAAAAGCTACTTAGATATTCTTCCTCTCATTGAAAAAGCTTGGCAACAGGGGTCCTTACATGGTTTTCCTTATCTCTGAGTGCTCAGAGTGGTTCTAGGAAGTTTATCTTCATTTCTGTAATTGATCAGGAATAATTCAACACACCATCAGACAAGAGTTACATATTTGGGTTGTCAAATGAGTATGTCCTCTGCTTCTAATAGTTGGTCATTTGTATTTCTCTTCACTTACATGATACGCACACGTCCTATTCTTACTAGGTATAGTGTGGTAGTTTAAGAACACAGGTATTGTACTCTGGTTGCCAGCTTTCAAAGCCTGGCTGTGCTGCAGTGTAAACCTAGACAATCTAATTAACTTCTCTGTGTTTCTGTTTTTTCATGTGGAAAAAGGAGAGACAATAATCACACCAATTTTACAGGTGTATTGTACATGCTAAATATATTAATTCAGATAGAGCACTTATAAATGTGTGATGTGTTAGGTAGTTTTGAAATGACAGTCTATCCTATTAACCCAAGATGCAAACAACTGCAAAATAATTAATTGTAAATTCAGCACTAGACAATGTGTTTCTTAGTAAGTGAAATAAATATAGAAGCTGACATAATGAAAGATTATATTAATCTCTCTGAAATAAATATGATGGGGTAATTTTGGAACAGAAATTCACAGACCTTCTTCTTATATCAATGAGATTCATTGTACAGCTTAGAAAGATAGAATATCAAAGAAAAAGGTAAGAACACTCTAAGTTAGAATAGGGCTTCATAGCATTCAGTTAGGGGATGGCAATAAGGGTGCAAAGAGTTTACAGTCAGCTTAATAACAGACTTACATTTCTCTGAAAATATCAAAACTCGTGCTGTGGGAAGTGAGGGAATAGTTGATAAGATTTAGTAGAGGAGAAATGTGGTTATATTTGCACATAAGGAAAATGGTTGAAGCATTTCCTCAGTGTCTACAGAGGAGAAGGTATGTGTAGGGTCATGTAATTAATGCAAACTCACCGAACAGGAATGCAGTTGGCCCTAGAAGATGCATAGGGCTGGAAGGAACAAGGAATGGGTGTTTCTGGTGCAATGAACAGAGTAGGTTTATGGAGGTGGAGAGGGCACTGACTTGAAAATACACATGTTGAAGTTTGCTGGGCATTAGAAAGAATGGTTCAGATTTACAGTCAGTAGAAGCCAGTTAGAAGGACTCAGGTTTGCCCTGGTCATTCCTAGGTAGCAAGTCATTAAACACTAATTAGAGGGGACTCAGGCTTGCCCTGGTTATTATTAGGTAGCAAGTCATTAAGCACTAGTTAGAAGGACTCAGATTTGCCTTGATTATTCCAAGGCAGCAGAGTGATCTGAGGAAGGAAGGGTGTAGTAAAGCAATTTTCTGATTTCCATTACAGGAAGGATGGGGTGGGGTGACTGGAGATCCAAAGACTTTGGTAATTTAGTTATCAGCTTTCCGAGTATGAGGAGATGACAGCAAGAATGGGGAGGAAAGGGCATGCTGGGGATCTGGTGTGCAGGTCAAATTAATGTGATGTGCTGCCTGGATATGGGAAATGAGACAGCACCAACGCTGCAAGGTCAGGCAGCCTGGAGGGTAATGGGACCAGCAGAATACTTTCCAGACCCTATGTGCCCTTAGTTATTCTGTAAAACCACAGTGTAGTTCACCATCTGCACTCCTAACCCCATCCACATCTTTGCCCTGTGCTTGTGAGGGTGTGGAAAAATGACTCTGCATTGTCTCCCTATTTAGCAACTTGATTTCTCAGGTGATTGGATATTCTTGGTGAATCAAAAGCCTTGCACCAAATTATTGTTCTTATTTCATAGTGCATGACATGCTGAATTTAAGCATATTGCTTGTTGTGCCCTTGAATTTCAATGTAATTTTGAAGCTGAATAAGATTTCTTTAAAAGCATTGGCCCTTTGAGTCAGCTTCTTTTTTTTGTTCTGTGAACATCTGACTTCTCTTTCTCTTCTGAGCCCATTTCTCTTATTTCTGTCACACAGAGATATTATATGGCATGACTCCTGTTTAAGTAGACAGAAAATATTTTCATAGTGTTGATGTTTATTTAGGTGCTTTACATCTTTTCCTGCTTTTAAAATATATGAGAAATACTGTTTTGGTGTCTGATAAATTTGATCTTTCATTTTGTTTATATGGGTCCTGAGCTAACTTAATGAAAATGACACTTTGTAGAGGCACGGATAATGATTCACTGGACTAGGTTTGAATACAGGTAAAATATAATTTATTTTGGGGAGAAGTCACTTACACAAGACGAAGATGGCCACTGCAGGTTCCTGCTCTAAGGATCCGCACAGGTTGTTCCCTGTGACCCAACTGAACCCAAGAGAGATCCACTTGCCCGGACCCCAGACCTAAACTCTCTCCTTGTCACATCCTCACCTGTGACCATGCCCAAATGGGCGTGGTCAGCCCTACAGGTATGGGCAGGGTGGATATCTTACTACAATTCCCCTTTTAGTCCAAAGAAAATGATTTAGGCTAGATACAAAACTATACACAAAGATAGCAAATATCAAGTATGCCCTAGGAGAAGGAAAAGAACAAACACACTTAAGACCTCTTGCCAATGAAGCAACTAGAGCAAAAGGCAAGAACTACAGCACTTGAGTTTGGAGGCATTGCCTTGGTTACTGACAAAGATGATAACAAATATGGTTCTACACTAGCTGTCAGTGACCTTCATATGACTTTCTCCAAAAGTAGACTTACATCCAGCTGCTGCAACTTTGGATATACCCAAAGAGCTATGGAAGCATCAGATATACCTAACAGAGAGAACACCATCTCTACAACACTTAGACAGAAGTTGTCCCTGAAGCATCTTAGAAAGTTTTACATGAAGAGAGGGAAAGGGAACAGCTGGATGTACTTAATCTCTCCTTCCAGATTTGGCCCACTCCTCTATGGCAGGATATGGCATCAGGGGTAAAGAGAAAACATTCTTCCACGAACCTTTACCAATGATTTAACATCCTGATCCCATTTCAATCAATCAAGGTGACATCACTGAAAGTGCACTTGGCATAAGATGCAACCAAAGCCAATATGTCCTGGTATTAAGTCACCACACCCCCAAAGCATGTATACAGGGCTATTGTCTGCTTATATTATTGGAGGAGCAAAGAGTGTCTGTGACTGAGAAAAGCAGACAGCATGGGGCCTTGGGGAGAATGGTCTGTGAGAAACTAAGTTCCTGAGGTACAGAGAAAAGAGATGAAGAACACAGACCAGAGATGTACCAAGGGGATTTTACAGTGGGACAGAGCTACTGAAATGCTGTGCAATTGATACAGACAGACTTTTCACTTGAGTGCCCCACCTTTGTTGGAATGTCTTTTGTGGATTAGAGAGAACCCTGAACAGTCAGAAATACTTGTCCAAGTCTTAAGTTTTACAATATTTTGTGTGATCTTGGGCAAATAATGATTTGCCTAGCTTTTAATTTTCTACTCGGTTTTCACTTTTTAATAATGAAAAGTAAGGTAATTAAAATAAAGTGTTAGATAAGTAACATTTAATATTCAGTGAACATACCTAAACATACCGTAAGTTAGTTTTCACTCTCTGCAGTGATACAAACAATGCGAATAATGTCACAATTATTGCTTGTTTTATTGTAGGTCCCTCAACTGCTGGTGTCTGGCACACCTGAACTGATGCCATGGGCAGTATAAATAATGTAACTGCGCTTATCATCACTGGCCTTTTTCAGGATCCAGAGGTGCAGAAGGTGTGTTTTGTACTGTTCCTCCCTGTGTACCTGGCCACAGTGCTGGGCAATGGCCTCATTGTTGTGACAGTCAACATCAGTAAGAGTCTGCGTTCCCCTATGTACTTCTTCCTCAGCTACTTGTCCCTGGTGGAGATATGCTACTCCTCTACTGTTGTCCCTAAGTTCATCAGTGATTTACTTGCCAAAGTTAAAACCATCTCCTTCAAGGGCTGTCTGGCTCAAATTTTCTTCTTCCATTTCTTTGGGGTCACTGAAATCCTCTTGCTTACAGTGATGGCCTATGACCGCTATGTGGCCATCTGCAAACCTCTTTATTACACAACCATCATGAGTAGGACCGTGTGTCACCATCTGGTGGCTGGTTCCTGGGTAGGGGGCTTTTTTCATTCCATAATTCAGATTTTCATCACTATCCCCTTGCCCTTTTGTGGTCCCAATGTGATTGACCACTACTTCTGTGACCTCCATCCCTTATTCAAGCTGGCCTGTACTGATACCTTTGTGGTTGGGGTTATTATGTTTGTTAACAGTGGATTATTCTCTGTCTTTTCCTTCCTTTTCTTGGTGTCCTCTTATGTTGTTATCTTGTTCAACTTGAGAAATCATTCTGCTGAGGGAAGGCGGAAGGCCCTATCTACCTGTGCCTCTCACATCATGGTGGTTGTCTTGTTCTTTGGACCTGCCATCTTCCTCTACTTGAGACCTGCCTCCACCTACACTGAAGATAAACTCGTGGCTGTGTTCTACACAGTCATCACCCCCATGCTGAACCCAATCATCTACACACTCAGGAACGCAGAGGTGAAAAATGCTGTGAAGAAGTTATGGGGCAAAAAAGTGAACTCAAGTCTAGAATAAAATAAGAAACATGAAATAAACAGCATAACTAATATGACAAGAACTTGAAATTGACTTTAATAATCAGTGAAGGCACACATCAAAATCTACATGCTTATGTTTTTTTTCTTGACTTCTATCATGTCATAGGTATCAGTATTTTAGAGTATATTCAAACTGGGCTATTTTACATCTCTTCTCCAGAGATCTGTAGTGTGTAAGATTGAGGAATAGAACTTCTATAATGTGCAGATGCAAAATATACTTCTCTCATCAAAAGGAATGGAATAGTATGTTCTTAAGTCAATATGAATTAAGTGGCCTAAGAATATAGACTCAGGTTACACTAAACACTGTGTTCACTGTGGTCACAGGCTCATGGAACAAAAAGTCAAAAGTCAAGGCACTTTTCAAATACATTGGTGAGAATATTAGGTTGATAGGTTATGGAACAGTGTGCATGTGTGTGAAATCTCTGCTATTGGCCTCAGATAGTATGTGCTGGCATTCTTAGCTTTTGAGTTGATGAAGCTGGTGGTCTGTTAAGTTAAGAAATACCTGAAAGTTTCATGTGATAGTTACAAGGACATTAGATTAGGCACAGAGGTGGACAATGGTTGACTATTAATGGCTCTAAAGCTAGCTCATGATAATTTGGCATGGGTCTATAACACCCCAACATCCCATAATTATAAAATTTTAATGGGTCAGTCAGTTTTTCAGAATCTTTAACACAAGTGTGGCTTTTTCCTGGGAGTCTCAATTCACAAATGGAACCCTGCCCTGCCACCTATCAGCTCTGTGACCTCAACTTTATTCATTTCTCTTCAAATGTTAGCATACTGTGGTATGTGAAAGGATCTTGACATCCTACAGTAAAAGTTCACATTTTGCCTTTGTTACCTTGCAATTTTGGAGGGAGTCCTAGGACACCTTCACTGATTCTCAATGTGAGTTCCCTAGCTGATCATATTTAATCATCAGCCTGTTCCTCACCCCCTACATCTGTGCTCTTTCCAAGTCAGTTACATGACAAGTCATATACAGCAGGAACTGAGCTACACAATTATAGTATTTTTCATTTGGAAGGGGATTGGGTGAGATATGAGGATACCTGGAATCAAGGAAGAGTTTTTTTAGGAGTTACTTTAATTAACCTATGGCTGTTAAAGTGGAGTTAATAGATGATCTTGCAATGAAAATGTATCAGTTTTATGAACTCCATGGGGCTGCTCTTAATCCATATTCACATTTATTAATGGAGTGACTGATATGCATTCTATTTGGGTAAATAGTTTTTGTATATCACATCCATTACTTCTTCAAATCTTCAAAGAAACTCTATGATGTTAATGAAATAGTAATTAATAATATTAAATGTCATTTAAGTTAGGTTTTGGTTACAAGGAATAGAATCTGAAATAAGAGAGAAGTGGCAAGGTGCATTCAGGGTAGAAACATTCTTTATCATGTCTACCCATCATCAAGCCCCTCCATTTCCATGTTTACCTCATGTCCTAGGATGAGTACTGGAGCTTCATTCACAATGGCAGCATTTAATTGACACAAAATTTAAATTCAGTGAAATGTAAAAACCTTAAGAATGCAATCCGATGATTACTGACAAATTTACACATTGTTTCACTGACATCTAAAAGAAGACACGGATAATTCTCTTGTGTCCTCTCATGTACACCACCTCCTCTTCATCCCAACAGCAGCTGCCATTCTAATTTCTATCATCTGATGTTAGTTTCGAGTATTGCTGTGTTCATAGAAATGCTAGCAGTAATTGCCCTCTTTGTATTGGGTCTCTTAGCTAATTTTAATGTTTTTGAAACTCACTTGTGCTGTGCATCACAATAATTTGTTATTTTCTTTATTGAGTGCTGTGCCACTGCATGAATGCATCACAGTGAATAAAAGTTGTTTCACTGGTGGACATTGGGCCTATTTCTAATGCTTAAGACAAAGAAGGGTTGGGAAACACCGGTTATCCATGACAGAATACATAAACCAGGCGTGATGGGCTAGTGGACTGCATGGAGAAAGACATAAGTTCTAGGAGTCAGAATATCTAGATTTGTAACCAGAGATCATGCCTGGATTATTAGGTGCTGTAAATAAAATTATGAGACATAAAAGTGATTGCTGCCAAATCTGGTGACCTGAGTTTGATTCCCAGATTCCATGTGGTAGGAGGGGAGAACCAACATCTAAAAATTGTTCTCTGACCTCAACTCATGCAACATGGCACACATGTACTGTTTCCCCCCCAAAATACATATTTTTACAAAAGTTTTGAGAAGTGATTTTAAGTTCCTGTTTTTAAAGGAAAGCATATACGTCTTCACCACTTTCATCACTCCACTAGATACCTAGACTTCCCAAGTGTCCTCCTCCATGGTCTGGTTTGGTGAGTATCTCTTACCACGTACACCATCTTCATTTTCCAACAACCAGGAAGATCCAGCCTGGGTCCCACATCAAGTACTCAGCCTAGTCTAGCCACCCAGGCCTGTGAAAAAGCCTGGTATAAGCTCTAGGCTTATACCAGGAGCTGCTCTACCTGTAACCACTCAGATGCAACTTCTGGCTGTCCCCACGACTCCACTTGGTACCTGGACATCCCCCACTGGGTCTAGCCTAGTGAATATTACTTCCATCTTCATACACACCTTTTCCATACACACAACATACACTTTTTCCACAACTTACCAGATTTAACCTAGGTCCCATGACTAATACACCAGCTTAGCCTGACTTTCCTTGCCTGCATGGTAAAGGAACTCTAGGCTTGGGGCAGGATCCTAACTACATATTATCCAAACCACAGACTCTGCCATGTTGTATTCAACTTTTCCACTAGGACAGATCTACCCCCACAACTCTAGGCTGGGAACAGGAAACATGTATACCAGCTCAGTCCCTTCTGTGCCCCTGACTTCATTCCATTCAAGCTGTTTTCAACTTCTAGACCCAACCCACACCCACAAATTCTCCTATTCCCCAACCTGTTCTGTCTAAAAAAAAGAAAGAATAAAACCTAAGAACTAACAGATGAAGTCCACATGCCAGATATTATTGCAAGAATACCAACTATGTGAAAGGTCAAACCAATGTCTTCTCTCCAAATCTTCCCAGGCCTGTGGAAATGTTTGCCAATGAAAATTATATAGATGAACTCTAGGACACAGAAGTTAAAAGAACAATCATAGATTTCATCAAGGAATTCAAGGAGTTTAAAGAAGACACAAAGAAACAGCTCAATGAAATTAAGGAGAAAAATCATAAGGAGAACAAATGCCTGAAAGATGCCTAAGAAAACATAAACATAAAGCTGACAGAAACTGAAGAAAATCCAGAACTTGAGAATGAGTTTGAGTAAGGAGATAGCAACACTGAGGAGGTCTCAAGTTGAAATGGATATGGAAGTGAAAAACCCGATAACTCAGAAAAACCCAAATAAACCAGAAAACTCAAAGGAAAACCTTACAAGTTAAAAGAATCTACCAGAATATCAAAAATCAGGACCAAATAAGACAGAAACATGAAAAAAGCCTCAGGAAAGAATACACAGGAAATATGGACCACCATGAAAAAGCCAAACCTTTTATTTATAGGCATAGATGAGGGAGAAAGATTCCAAGTCAATTGCATAACTCAGGTATTCATCAAGATTATAGGAGAAAACTTGTCAAAACTAAAGAGAGACATACCCACCACATAAATGCAAGAAGCACACAGAATATCAAATAGACAAGACCAGAAAAGGAAATCTCCACATCATATCACAGTTAAAATACTAAATATATACAACAAAGAAACTGAATTGAGCTGTTTTTGGCCAGCCTTCCTGTGCCCTGAACAGAACCACTTGAGACCTAAGGACTTCACACTGCGGGATCCCATCCCGATGGGATTCGGCCTGCCCAGAGATGGCCAGCATCATAGTCTCTTTCCCCACCCACGGGACTAGGTAGACCTGGACCTGTTTCCAGCCTGCCTTCCAGTGCTCTGCGCACAACTAGCCAAGACAGGGGGACTGTGCACTAGGGCTCCCATCCTGGCAGGAGTCAACCCATCCAGAGACTGCCAGCAGCCTGGTCTCTTTCTCTGCTTAGGGGATTAGGTAGGACTGGGCCTGTCTTTGACCAACCTTCCAGGGCCCTACAGGCAACCAGCTGTGACCTGGGGATGGCACATGTGCATCCTAATCCATCCAAAGTCAGCCTGCCCAGAGACTGCCAGCATCCAAGTCCCATCCTCCACCCATGGGACAGGCAAGGTAGGCATGGGCCCGTTTCTGGCCTGCCTTCCGGTGCCCTGACCAGAACCACTATAGACCTTGGAACTATGGATCCCATTCCAACAGGGTTCAGCCTACCCAAAGACTGCCAAGGCCCTGGGACTAGGACTACCTCCATCCACGGAAGAGGGGAGCTACCAGAGTACTGGACCTGCTTGCACCCACTGCAAGGGAACCGTGATCACATATCCACCGGAGAGGAAAAGATTCCTTCTGCCCACACTGGAAGTAAAAACACACTCAGCAACAGAAAAAACAACATGACACTGGCAGAGTCTAGAGACTCTACACCAGCAAGACCTGAACACCCCAATGCAAATGAAGCAGAAGAGAATGACCTTAAAAACAATGATAGAGCCTCTCAAAGAGGATATGATAAAATCCCTTAAAGAAATGGAAGAAAAAACAAACCAAAAAATGCAAGAAACAGAAGAAAAACCAAATGAAAAAATCCAACAAATGCAAGAAAGGGAGGGAAAAACAAAGCAAAAATTTCAAGAAAAAATTCAAACAGTGCAAGGGTTGAAAGCTGAAATAGAGACAATAAAAAACACAGTCTGAAGGAAAGCTGGAAATAGAAAAGCTGGGCAAATGGTCAGGAACTACAGATGCAAGCATGACCAACAGAATACAAGAGATGGAAGAGAGAATCTCAAGTGTTGAAGATACACTAGGAGAAATAGATCCATTGACCAAAGAAAATCTTAAGTCC